CTGCTGATCCGAATGCCTTGCTAACGTGTTTGTTGGTTTGAATTTTGTGACGTTACTGGATTTTTATAGTGGACAATTTCATTTTGGAAATATTCGTAGCTATTCTCGGCGACTAAACTTTGTTGAATTAAATCCTTATTTTCATTTGCGTCGGATACTAACAAAGTTGACTATTCATCCCACATAATTACAAAAAAAAACAAACACAACAACAATCTCGAGTTTCCCAGAGTAAGATAACGACATAATGGAACTAGAACTTTTATGGGAGGGGCTGGTGTGATTCCCGTGATCATGGATATCCACACAGACTTCCTCGGCCTGTTTCAGACTCCAGACATGACACTGACACGACGGAACCAAATGCTCCGCGATTGATTTATTTTGCAAGGTAAAACAACAACAAAAAGAAAAAAAAATTGAAACAAATAGAATACAAATACAGACAGCTCCTTCAGTTTCTATTCACCTTTGAACAGGTCACGTAATAAACGGATACTGTAATATTCATACACCATATATTCATATCTCTTATCCAGCACTACTTATTGTATGGCATAGTATCTTGGGGCTAAGCTGCTAACACTTACAAAAACATGTTCTTTGGTGACTACAATTCTCATGCAGTACCTTATTGCACCTTATTTTGTCTGTTCTAGCTTTCTTCCTTTAGATCTACTCTACTTAAATCTGTTGCTATTCTAATGCATGATATATCTAACAGCGTAACACCTACTAACATATCTAACTTATTTGCTTCCCAATCTAATATTCATCCATATAATGCAAGATCATTTTCATGAGGTGACTATTATGTTAAACACTCAAGGTTAGACAAACGAACTAAGTCTTCTTAAAGATATGGTGTAAAAATCTGGAATAGTTTTCCGTGTGAAAAGCGTCAAATATCCAAAAATAACTTTACTTACTCTTTTTCTCTCGTCTTACTCGTGAGCTATTTGTACATACGTAACATACGTCTAACCACTGCTCCCCTCGACTAGCTAATCCTCTAACTGCGGGCAATGGATATTCCTCGCTGTAAAATTTGCAATAATTAATGCGTGGCCGAGAAAAGGAACCCACAACTAACGAGAGACAAGCCCATCTTGCGTCAAGATGGGAACCTAGGCTATCGAAATCGATTTAGCATAAAAACATGAAGCAAACTAGGAGATACCTCAAAGCAGGCCTCCAGTGAATGAGTGAAAATTGCCGTGTATATTTCTCGAATTATTGATCATCTAACTTAACCAACCCGAATCAGAAACCCACCTGATTATTCGAATACGCCTTGGTTGACGGGCCTGGTGCAGCATTAAGTAAGATCATAAAGATCTCAGTAACTAGCGTATTAGTTGGAGCCCTGAGTACAGTTGATTTCTGATCTTGGTCATGCCTTCACAGCTGTAAAATGATATTTCTCACTTCTCACTTCCAATATGGCGTCGCGCGTGGTGCAGCACATTCGCAGCTCTTTCTTTTGATTGGCGCATAGAACAATGGCCAAACTTGGCCGAGAGAAAGAAAATAGGGGCTTGGAAAAGAACCATAGAAAAAACGCGTTTTTTTGTACTTTTTTCTTTGATTTTTTCGTATTTTTTCGATATTAGCCAATCAGAAGCCTCGATTTAATCGATATTAAAAATTAATAGTTCGCACCTTTTAATGACTTTTGCCGTTGGCCTGCCTACCTCTTAGCCGGACCATTACTTAAGGTATAAGGACAAATTAGGACTTTGTGCGCCGGTATGAAAGCGTGCTCATACCATACTTCACGTGACTGAGTCGAACTATAACGTAATACAAACAAAAATAGAAAAGTATGGCGTTTGACGCGAGCCTTAAAGGAGCTCTGCAGAAGCATGACTATCTCCATGATCTTTCACACATGTTTTTAAAAAGATCGAAACTACTATGAGGTGAAATTGCATGTCAAAAGCGCTTCGTTTTCTACAGATAACGACCAAATATCAAGATTGTCCATTTTCTATTGTGTTTCTAACCATAAAAACTTCATCCCAAAATATCTCGATAACGCTCTTACCGATTTCGCTTAAACTTCACAAACATCGAGGCCGCTATTGGAGGAAAAAGCTCCCGTTAACGATTTTGAGAGAACAATTCCCAGTGCCGAGAAATACTTCTGCAAGTAAAATAGGTAACAGCGTCATTTCGTCGTTGCTATGACAACTCCGATGTCATTACAAACCTGATTATAGCAAATTTTCATCTTTATCTAATGTAACTGTGGTGGAAATTTTTCCAAATCTTGGCTTATGGCGACGTAGTTTATGCTCAAACTTGAGAGGTATTGACCCAGAAAAACTGTTTCGAGCCACCTTAATTGTGCATGTATGCGTCCTGAAGGACACAGAGAAACTCAACTTGATTGCCAACTCAGATTCTCATCTGACACTAGTCCTGCATACTGCTGGGAATACAATTAACTGCAAAGACCCTGGACGAAGATCCTGCTGGTTATGAACATTGAATCTCTAGAAAAGAAATCTAATCAGCTAAAATAGTATGGTATGGCCAACCGGAAATATTGTTACGACAAAGTAATATAAGTTGTTATGATAAGTTTTGCAGTAGTATTTGGACTTCTCGTTTTTTTCTCGGA